TTGATGTAATTTTAATTTATTATTTTCCATTTTTATCTCTTGACCAAGAAAAGTACTTGGGTTTTCCCACGTTTTTGTTATGAAGTTTTTATTTAATTTATCAATTACGTATTTTATGTGTTCTTTATTGTTTGATATTATAAGGCCATCATCTACATAAATAGCCATAATTAATGTTCTGACACTGTTTTTAAATATACACTGTTCTGAGTTTAATTGTTGCAACTCAATTTCTTGTAGTACTTTTGTGAATGTTTCATTCCATTTCATAGGTGCCTGTCTTAAGCCATATAAAGCTTTTTTCAGTTTACATAGTTTTCCATCTGCATTGTTGTATCCCTGTGGTATATGCATGTACACGTCCTCTTCCAGTTTTCCATATAGGAATGCCGTTCTTATATCAAATTTCACTACATAACTGGATTGTGCTGCTGCTAGAGCAAGTAATGTTCTTGTAGCACTTGAACTTATTACTGGGCTATATACCTCATCAAGTAGATCATTAAACTCCTGTTCAAATCCTCTTACTACTAATCGAGCCTTAAATGTTCCATCTTCTTTTATTTTGAATATCCACTTATTAGATAGTATCTTTTGGTCGTCTTTTACCTTATCTCTATCCACTAATTCCCAGACATCGTTCTCTTTCAATGAACGTTTTTCCTCTTTTATCGCTTTCATCCATTCATCTTTGTCTTCGTCTTTTAATGCTTCTTCATAAGTTAAACACACATAATCTTTTAATTTTTCTGGTTTTCTTCTTGTTCTTCGTGCCCTTGTACTTTTATCTGTTTCATCATTATCTTCTTTATTTTCATCTTCTTCTTTATTTTCATTTTCTTCTTTATTTTCATCTTCTTCTTTATTTTCATCTTCTTCTTTATTTTCATCTTCTTCGTCCTTGTTCAGTATTTCATTTAATTTTTCTCTGCTTGTTAATTCATCTTCATCGCTTTTTATTTCGCTTGTATCGTCTATTAGAATTTTTATTTTTTTGTTTTCAAAAACTGCATCTCTTGATACAACGATTTTTCTTTTTTTTGGATCAAAGAATCTAAGACCATTGTTTGAGTATCCGATGAAAAACATCCTTTCACTTCTCTCATCTAGTTTTTTTAGGTTTCCTAGTTTTTTAACATGTGCAGTTGTACCGAATATTTGTAAGTTTTTCAAATTTGGTTTATGCCCATTCCATGATTCGTATGGTGTACGGCCTGTTGTTGTCGTTGGTGTCCGGTTCATCAAATATGCACTGACTCTTATTGCTTCTCCCCAAAAATCTTTTTTTAACTGAGAATCACATATGAGTGCTCTGGCCTTTTCCATTAATGTTCTATTGGCTCTCTCCGCCTTTCCATTTAACTGAGGAGTGTATGGTATGGAAAAATCTAACACTATACCTTTTTCTCTACACCAATTTTTAATGTTATTATTCGCATATTCCCTTCCATTGTCACATCTTATGGTTTTAACTCTTTTTTCGAATTTTATTTCACTTCGTACCACGAATTCCTTTAGCAATTGTGCAACTTCGTCCTTTGTTTTTATCGGGTACACTTCGATGTGATGTGTATAATCGTCCAGAAAAGTAACGAAATACCTCATTCCATCCCATGTATTCGGGTCTATAGGTCCGCATACATCTGTGTGTATGATTTCTAATACTTTATTTGCCTTTCTTCTTTCGTTTCCAAAAGATGTTCTTGTCAATTTTGCTTTTGCACACACCTCGCATACAATTTCTTTCATATCTTGTAAGATTCTTGGACTGAAATTAAATCCCTCTGTATTATTAGGCAGTCTTCTTAAAATTTCATACCCAGGATGTCCCAATTTCCTGTGCAGTTTAACTATTTCTTCTCTTTCTGTGATCATTGCACGTTCTATCTCTTTTGTTTCATTCATGTTCATAACATATAATCCCATTTGTTACCACCCCCGAGCGTGAGGTGGTAAGAGGCCCCCGAGTATATTCTCGGAGAAGGGTATTCTCCTCGGGTCCACTCTTTATAGGAGCCTCGTAACGTGGTCAAGTGTGTCAAAAGACAAGGGGGAAAGGATCAAGCGGCGGATGTCAAAAAAAGACCAAATACGAAAAATAGATAAAACTTTGAATTAATTAATGACAATACTTTAATTTATTTTCTTTTAGACACAAATTAAATATAAAACAAAAAAACAGTAAATAATTCTATCTAGTACTCACATAATGTTTTTGGGTTGATTGACACCTTTGGCTTTCTCTTATTTTTCTCTTTTTCAGTCTTTTCCACTTTTTACTCCCACACTTTACCCACGTCTCTACTCTAACTCCCGACTATCTAACTTCTTGTTCCCAACTCTCCTAACTCCCAACTCTCTACCTTCTTCTTCCCAACTCTCTCAACTCCCAACTCTCTACCTTCTTCTTCCCAACTCTCCTAACTCCCAACTCTCTACCTTCTTCTTCCCAACCTTCTCGTGAGTCCCTCATCCGTTGTCCCCACTTCCAAAATATTTCTGTACTTCCCCGAATTTAATATATAAATCTTTTCTGACTTGTTACACATTTGATTCCTTTTTCCTGATATTATCCTTTTTCCTTCTTTGTGTACTTCAACTTTATCTTCTTCAAAGAGCACTTTTCCTCCACCTTTTGTAATTTTCGCCACAGATAGCAAATTCTTCTCCAATTCAGGCGCATAAATTACGTTTCTTAATGTACAATTTTCTGTTTGTACATCTCCTATTGCTCTAGCTTCAAGAACTTGGTTTTTCTTTGCTGTCCCAATGCTTTCATCAATTTTTTCTTGTTTTATCAGCAAATCACTTTTATTCGTCATGTGTGATGACGCACCAGAATCTAGTATCCATTCATTTGTTTTATTTGTATTATTTGTTACCATGAAGCTGACCTTTTCATCCTTTTTATTCCTAAAGAAACATTGGTTTTCAGTATGGTTGTTCTTTTTACAAATGCTACACTTTGGTTTTTGTTTGCATCTTTTTGCGATATGACCTTTTTTTCCACATTTAAAACAAGTTATGTCTTTACTTTGTCGTTTATTTTCATGTTTGGCTTTAATTTCTCCTTTAAAAGCCACATTTTCTGTTATGTTTTCTTCATTTGTTCTTATTTCTTCGTTTAATAGTCTTGCCGCCAAGTTTGTAAACGTTTTCTGTTCTTTTGACGTTGACTCCCATGCGCTTCTAAAGTGCTTGTATTGTATGGGCAGTATTGACAATAACTTTGTTATTTTCATATCTTCGCCTATTATTTGGTTTAAATTTGTTAATTTGTGAGTTATATTTTCGAGTTCGGCAATATTACTTGTCATATCCGTTTCCTTTTTGTATTGCAGTTGGTAAAATTCTTGCAAAAGTTTATATTTTAATTCATCTGTACTTTGTTGGTAGGTTGATATTAATTTGTTAAACATTTCATTAGAATTTTTACAATTTAACAAATGTATGATTTGTTGTTTTTCTATCGTTGTTATGATTAATTTTTGTGCAGTAGCATCCTTTTGTTCCCATTCTGCTCTTTTTTCTTCTTCTGTAGGACATGGAAATGTTCCATCAACTATGTTTTTTAAATTTTTTGATTTTAAGAAAATGTTAATTTGAAAACTCCATAACTCAAAGTTTTCAGCACCTTTTAAAGTTTCTATAGTTGCTAATTCATTCGCTTGTGCCATTTTTTATTGTTTTTAATTTATTACTACCTTTTATTTATTAATTTTTAATTATTTTTAATTAGAAAATCACCTTTATTTTATCCGCGGGTGTTTTTTATTTTATTGTTTTCTTACGTGTCTGCTGTTTTCTTTTTTACATCTGGCGCTGAACAGAACGTCCCTGGTCGAACCGTTGGCCTTGAACGTGTTGAGACTTGTCCGCTTCTGATGAAGACGCCTTTCTATTTTATTTTAACTTTTTTTTTCACTTTTATAAATTTGGCTGGCGCCCTGGGCCCATAACCTGTTGTGGTTTTATTCAGAGGCCAATATGTCCAAATTTAATAAAGGTTTATAAAAGTAAACTGATTTATTTGTTCTAGCACAATACACCATTTATGTTAACTCAACGAACGCTCAACCTCGACTCTTTTTATTCTTCGCGTACGGCTCGTGTCACTTCTGACTGTAACCCTGGTTGCAGAATCTTTATTTTATTTGTTTACAATATATATTTAAATATTACAACAGGAACCTTTATTTCAAATTCCCAATAATAAACAATAAGAATTTCACAATATTTTCTCACGTGTTGTCAATAGTAATACTAAATATTATGGTTGAGCACCTAAAATACACAAAATGAGAATTTCACAATGTTATTAAAAACATTCCCGTACAAAATTCCTACAAGAATACAAGATAAGAGAATAAATATAGATTTTTTTATAACGAATTACAAAAATAAGATGGATTACTTGAATTTTATTATCACCACAACGTTTTATTTTTTAACTCATTTTTTTGTATAGAATTATTTAAACCTCAACCCACACATTTTCCCACCTTACACGTGCAATATTGATTTTTACAAGTATTGCACAACATTAGATTCAGAAATTTTAAAAGATTATGAATGAAAATTTGTGTTTTAAGCAACATTTTAGTAATAATTTATTTTTATTTTAGCATCTGGTGGTGTTGATTTTGTGGGAACATTCCACCGGATTTGGGATAATCATTTAGCGGAATTGGTCGAGTGCAGAAAATGCGGACGAAAATTCTTTCCCGATCGCATCGAGAAACACGAAGCCGTTTGCGCTGGTATAAAAATCGCGTTAAAACGAAAACCCGCTAAATAAATCAATTAAAAATAAATAAAATTTATAAAAAATTAACATAACCTTATTTTAAAAATTTTTTTTTTCTTATGCATTCCCCCTCCTCTCCTTAAAATATTCATCTTCCGATGCACTTTTAACCCCCACCACAACCTAGCAACGCGGTGTATAAAATTGTTTCGGAAGCACTGGTCGATCCATAGAAAAACGGTGATTGGTCGGCTGTCAAATATTTGTCAAGCAGCGCCCTCTGGTACTGCGTGGCAACCAGTTCGCTTTCTATCTTCCTTTTGCAGGGAGTACGCCATTGTTGGCGTTTGTGTTTTAACCCAAGAAAGAAAATCTAAAATCATCCAATATGGTAAGTCTTTTAGAAACGTTTTTAATAAACCAAACGGAAAAAGTAATCCCGCTTCGATTATCCGCGGCCGTATTTTCCGATTTCCACAAATCCAACTTTAATAAAATCCAATATAAACGCGATTGCACAATGGTACGAAATCATACCATAAGCTGTTTAAACCAACATTTACTTTATTTAATCCCATTCGCAACGTTTTCTTAACAATTTTGATTTATCCATTATCCATTTGGCAAACCGATTAATCGAAATTTCCTTGTTAAACCGATTTACGTCAAAAAACATCGAAAATGGTAAGTGCCATTTTAACGACCACGTTTTTTCCATCACCTTCAATATGTTAATTTCCTATTGATATTAATAATTCTAACCTAAATTTAATGATTTCTTGATAAAAATAACTTCCATATGGATACTTTATTCTTATTATTTGTGTTATTTTATTTATTTTTATTTTTTTTTAGGTTATGTGTTTAATAGAAATGAATTTTTTTATTTTAGGTGAACTTCACGGTAGACGAAATCCGTACCATGATGGACAAAAAGAAGAATATCCGTAACATGTCCGTCATCGCGCACGTGGACCACGGAAAATCGACTCTTACAGACTCCCTCGTATCCAAAGCTGGTATCATTGCCGGTGCCAAAGCTGGAGAGACTCGATTTACCGATACTAGGAAAGATGAACAGGAACGGTGTATTACCATCAAGTCAACGTAAGTAAAAAGGACCATTGAAAATTAATTAAATGTAATAATGAAAGAATTTTTTTTTGTTTTATTAAAAAATATTTATTTTGATTTTTAAAAATTTACTTTTAAGGGGACTAACAAAGAATTAAAGGATTATTGATTATTAGAAAAGGAGAAATGTAATTTATGGTATACAAGATTAAAATTTTTATATAAATTGGATTTTACTCCATTATATTTTAAATGATAATATTAATAAGTCAATTTCATAGCTTTAGATAGTCTAAAACCTATTTTTTTTTATCATTTACTTTAGTCAATTGCAGAATTTTATACTCTAGAATGGTTAGGAATATTTTAAGATTTCTTTATTTGATGTTTTTCAATGCTGTTTTTATTATTTTGTTAAATTTTTTTCTTGGTATTCAAAAACTCTAAATAGACTTAATATTCTTTGTTATTTAGCTACAGGCTATCTCAATGAACTACTCAGCTGTTCAACTGTATGCCCAAACTTACACAAAATGTATAATTCCTCACCATGAATCAGACTCATGGTTTTCACTTATGCCACAAATTTGTTACCACAAATCTTACTCATGGTTGTAGACCAAAGGGTTAACCTTTCCTTCTAAAGAGAAATATAAAAAGCCTTAGTTGTTAATGTAGTGATAAACACCCAGATTATAAAACAAAATCTTTTGGCATAAAAAAGCTGGTTCAAAGGTTAATTTTGGGATAAGCTATTGCAGGTCAAATGAAATAACACCTTTTATCTGTTTTTAACTCACATTCTACTTTGTTTTTTTATTAAACTTTACATTATAGCTGAAATTAATAAGTGCAAATTCAACTTGCAATACATTCTTTTGCTCAACTTCAAGCACAGAACCTATTAAGTATGGATAGAGATACACTCATGGTTATTACTTCTAGCACAAATTCATTACCACAAGTCTTACTCATGGTTGTAGACCAAATGTTTAACCTTTTCTTCTTAAGGAAAATACAAAACGCCTTGGTTGTTGATGTTATTATAAACACCCAGATTATACAACAAAATCTTTTGGCAATAAAAAGCTGGTTCAAAGGTTAATTTTGGGATAAGCTATTGCAGGTCAAATGAAACAACACGTTTTTATCTGCTTTTATTGCACCTTCTACTTTGTTTTTTAATAAACTTTGCACAAAAGTTGAACAGCTAACTTTTCTGCAAATTCAACTTCAAGCTCTCTGCTTAAATTAAGCCTATTAAGTAGGGAAGTTTTGATTTTCAAAAAGAATTAATTAAACCCCTACAAAATTATTAATAAATGAATAATATAGTTAAGATATTGTCACCATGAAGGAGAACTAGTGATGGGAATTTACCCCATATTTATATTTGTGGCATTTATCAGATATATACCTACAATGGGTAAATAATCGAATGTTTATTTGAAAGTCATAATTTCGAGTTTCTGTCGCTTAAGTAAGTAAAGATAACAACAAAAATAATAACTTAACAAAATAAAACACTAAAAATGTGGACATCTATAACATTTAGGTATTAATCTTTATTTTAATACTCATAAAAAGGTATTTTAAAATCTACAGATCTTCTGATTCTGCTTCAGAATGAGATTATGAATTAGAGACACAAATTTCCAAAAATTTTTCACGTTATCATTTTCTCTGTCTACATCAGATTCTTTGCCATTTTTACTTGATATATTGTTGTTTAATTTGTAATTGTAACAGCAATTTTGCTTAATATAGTACTGCTGCAAAGACCTTTCCACCATGACAATGGGCTCATCAATTCCAGGTTTATATTTTCCCATACAAAACTTATACTTTGCCAAATCATCCATAACATCTAGTTTCCTTTGCTTGGCTATGGTATAAATTCTATAGCGTCAATTTCCTCTTTGTGAGGGAGATTGCATCCTTTGGAGATTGGATCTAACATTGTAGCAAACTTATTTCGATCTTTAATTTTTTTTTTCAACTTCATCATCACTCAAAAAATCAGTAAGTTTATTGATGTCATCAGACTCGATTTCTTTAAGAACATTATCAACCTTATGAAGTAAAGGCAAATTTCCCTCAAGAACTGTAATCCAAGACACAATTGGATTCAAAACGTTACGTAAGATTATGATCTACGGCCAAAAATGATCGTCATCCAACAAAAGAAATTTTATTTGCTTACAGTGATAGCTTTTTCATGTACAGAATGTCTGTAAACCAACTTTGTTTGCGAGGAGACTTTCAATACTGAATAAATAGCTACCCCAACGAGTCTTGCAAGGTAATTTAAGGGTTATGTTGCCATTTTTACTGCTATTTCTTTCGGATAGTAAAGCAGACAAAACTGGAACATTTTTCACTTCTTTTATAACATAGGATATTTGGATAATACATTGTTTGATTGAGAGAGAACTTAAAATATCATATGCAATGTGTTTGTCAAACATCCTAAAGATACCAAGTGAGGATATTTTTCGTTAAGTAGCCTAAACGCTTTTATCATATTGGCCGCGTTATCACCAATCACTACAAAAAATTTGTGGGGTGGTCCATATTTTTCCCATTTCGTCTCTAATGTATGCCAAAGTATGTCTTTGGTTAGCAAAAATTGGACAAAGAACGGCTCAGGTTTTGTAATAACGAAATTGATAACACCTTCATTACGCATATTGCTTCAGCAATCACACTATAAATGCAAATTTTGAGCTTCTTCCAGCTGCACACTAATCTTCTTCATATCGTTGTATTTTCTGTCCAGAAAAGTGGTTGAAATTTGTTTTCTGTTTGGTAATGGAAAGGTGTGTCACAGTTGTTTAAAAAATTCTTTCCAACAACAAACAAAGATTAAATATACAGGGTGGTTCAGTTTTTAATCGGGAAACTTTACTGTTACGTAATACTTGCCAAAATAACACAAGTTTTTTATATAAACATAGGGTCGCAACTCTTTTGTTTTCGAGCTATGAGCTGTCAAAGTTGAGCCAAAAATTTACATTTTATCTTTTATTTCTGGTATAAGTAAACCGTAGAATTTGAAATTTTGTATGTACTACTGGTTAATACTTTATTTTCAACCATAACTTCCCTAGCGCCCTCTAACGGGGTGAAATTCACAACCCCTTTGATTTTTTTTATAACAACTTTTTAACGCCATGGAATATTAACATAAAAAAATATGGGTTGTAAAGCTTATTCATTGCTGGTACTTTTTTGTCTCTTTAGTTTTTTCCTTAAAGATAATATAGCTCGAAAACAAAAGAGTTGCGACCCTATGTTTATATAAGAAACTTGTGTTATTTTGGCAAGTACTACATCCTAGTAAAGTTTCCCGATTAAAAACTGAACCACCCTGTATATTCTCTATATTATGTTAATTTTTGGTGTCTTTTTTGTTTAATTCTCTATCAAGGTATCAATCCAAAAATAGTTGTGTTTCTCGCGCACTTCTTTTTTGAAAAAAAGTCGAGGAAATTTGAGTGTTGGGCGTCAGTACTACTATGATTGTCTGTAATTGTTAACTAATTTCCAGTGCCTTTTGGTAGTTTTGATTTAATTTTATTTTTTACCATCGCAGGACATTTAAAACAATTATTAAATATATGGTTTGTAAGTTTATTGACATTGCCAAAGTAATGTTTTCCACAATATTTGCAGGTTACTTAATTACTAAGCTCATTATCAAACAGGTCCCAAATGGCACTCTTGTTTCTTCCCATTGTGTAAAAGTTCCACAACATATACAGGGATGTATCTGAATGACTGCAACAAACTTCAAGGGGTGATTCTTTAGTGAATTTTAAGGGTACTTTTATATATGAATCATGGACGACTTCGGCCCCCCTAAGGAGCTACACCCCTCCAAAAATGGCGGAAAATTTTGGTTTAATTTCTTTTTCTCACAAACCATAAACACTAGGAAAATGAAATTTGGGGAATATGTTTAACTCATAATAGGGCATGTTTTGACCCTATTTGTACTTTCAACCACTGACATTTAAACGTCAAAAATATTTCTGACAAAGCTTGCAAAGCCTACTAAGATTTTTTCATTAAAAATTCATTCCAACTTTCGATTAACAACCCTACAGCTTAACAGTTAGTGTTTGCTTAATTATTTTTTTTTCTCAGAAATTATTAAATTTTCGAAGAACATCAGAGAGACAATAGTATATTGTTTTATATGAAAGAGAAGCAGTGTTTTTTATGGCGTGGTCTGCCGTTTAGCGACGAACGCAGTGAGTCGCTAATGACAGATGAGCCGTCAAAATTGTGGCGTGTCCGACAGTTTTCCAATGTTTTCCAATGGCAATGACCGACCAGCCGCAATAAATACTGTGTTTTATTCTCTTCCGAATAAAACGGTATTTTTTCTTCAAACGTCATTTCCAATACGGCGCTAAAGTGAAATTTACTTTAGCGCCATAACGCTGAAGTACTTTTTTGCTATGTTGATCTTAGCAACCGTCGTTATGCAACTATTTACCGTTGTTATGCAACCGTATATATGCAACTTATTTATCATCTTCATAAAAATAATCTAGGCATAAATTGAACGGTGGTGGTTACATTTAGTAGTTTAGAAGGGTAGGTTGAAAGTACATATAGGGTCAAAACGTGCCCTATTATGAGTTAAACATATTCCCTAAATTTCATTTTCTTAGCGTTTATGGTTTTTGAGAAAAAAAATTAAACCAAAATTATCCGTCATTTTTGGAGGGGCGTAGCTCCTCAGGGGGGCCGAAGTCGCCCATGGTTCATATATTAAAGTACCCTTAAAATTTACTAAAGAATCACCACTTGAAGTTTGTTGCAGTCATTCAGATACAACCTGTTTACCTAAA